CGCAGGCGACGCAGGCGACGCAGGCGACGTGCGCACGAGTACCACGACGGATGAGGTGTGACTCCTTGGATGGGACAGTGGATGTGTTGGTGGCTTTGAGATGTTTCCTGCCCTGACAACAGAAACAGCACTTGGCACCTGGAGCTACCTGGAGGCAATACGCTGGCACTGTTGCATAGGCATATCACTTTTGGACCCCTCCCGCAAGGTGCAAACACATGTGGGAACAGCAACAGGTTGATTTCCAGGGTTGGGACATAAGGAGAATTTGTGAAGTTCAAACATGTCAGAAAGTGCAATTCAGGACCAAAAAGATAGCTCCAACCCTGTGGTATCATTTGTAGATGTGAGCCTTTTGAAGCCACATCATGTACAGCAGCTGAGTGGAGATTTCATCTTGAAAAACAGATCAGCAGAGTGGTTTTCTGTCAGACATGCTGTCACAAGGTGTGAACAGGTTTAAAGACGGGTCGGCCAGAGGTCCATCCTGGAAATCGAAGAATCGAAGTCTCATCGTGTGCAAAATCGCAAAGTGCGTGCGACGGCCAGTGTGCAAACTGAAAGCAGTCCTAGCGGTGATTCGATATCGGCATTACATACAGAGTCTATGAATAAATAAATGAATAAATAAATTCATTAGTTAACAAACAAATAAAATCATGGAATATCATGGATAGATATATGATATACGTAAAGACATGCACATTGTGTATACACATACACATACTATATTTATTGCATACCCACTATATTTGTCCTACAATGCAGAATAGGCATACTGCAGATCGACTGATATACGCAAACTACATGTCCGCCGCAGGCCAGCTGCACCAAGTCACCAGTCAAAGATCCACTGGGCGGAGGAAAAGGAATGCGTCTGAAAATCCACCTGGGCAGATTCGATTTTTGGGCATCCAAGGTTTGTTTCGGAGTTTCATCATAAGTTGATTATGTACAAAAAATCCCCATGATATCCTCATTATAGTCCCAAGTTTTTCCCCATCATATCACCAAGATCAAGGATGATAATACTAGAATTCCTGAGATCTGGGTGGATGTGTTTTTTTTCAACATGATTTTCGAGGCTCTGGGCTCCACATGACAGATCGATCAACGGGATTTTATGTCTCATCCTGGGTGGCTCTGCGACTCAAGAAGCGAAGTGAAACAAAGAATATCCAGCACTGCATCTGTCACTGTTTCTTTGGTGTTATTTTCAGTCGGAACCAGTTCTTCTCACTGCTAGCAGCATAGCTTTTGGGGTAAGCAAATCTTTGAAGTCAGCGAAACATCAAAACATCAGAGGCCCCACATGGACATTGGGCCATGAGTCCCATGTAGACAGGCACGCGGCTGATCGAATCATCAGATCCGTTGGATCAGATCCGTCCGTTTCGGGGGAATTGCTGTGACTATGTTGTGACTATGTTGTGACCAGGAATTTAGGATTTGGGATACCAACTATCTATGGGATTTGCAGCGAAAGTGAATTTGTAGCTGGCTTTTGTAATCATTTGCGTTGAGGCGAGCCAAGTGATGACAAGACCAGGAGACAGGGAAAGACTGGGAGAGACTGAAGAATATGGGCAGTCAAAAATTGAGACCTATGACTTCTAGCTACATCTTCGGCACACTGCTTTTAAATTCAAGCTAATTGGACGTTGCTACGAGGCATATTCCAAAGTGGGGAGCCCCATCAAAGGCTTCCCGGAAGCACATTTTTGTTGCTCAACATTCCCATTTTTCATGGGTAGTTCATCCCATTCTTCGGGGTTAATTCATGATCCCTGTCGGAGCAATCCAGATCCTCTATCTTTTCGTTTTTGTCAGAGTTTTTTTTGGGATTAAGTCCCATGTTTGGTAAAAAGATGACTGGGAAGTTCAAGTAATGTTACTAACTGTTTTTTTTAAAACATTGGGGTTCAGAGCCCCTTTGCTTTTATTATCATTGTCCGTGGGTAAAAGGATGGAATAATCAAACATCCCAGTATTGGATAACGAAACATTGTTCCCACTATTCCCATGATACACAACCATCTAATGGTTGGATGGGATAATGTACCCAACCATGACAAGGTGAGGCCCCCCTAGCGAGAAAAGTTGGTTTACAAACCAATTTCTATAACTACAGTTCTAAGGTGTCTAAGGTCCAATAGAATTCACCAAGTTATATCAACTTAGCGATCACCTCACCGTGTAAAAAGATGTACCCTCTGGTAATTTAACATAGCTATCGAAAATGGCCATTTATAGTGAGTTTACCCATTAAAAATGGTGATTTTCAATAGCTATGTTAGTTTACCAGAGGGTAAAAAGGATCATCCACCAACCTTTCCCCAGGAGCCACGCTTTTGCCGGGCGCCCCTCCCTCCTGGCTCCCCGGCCCCGGCGCCCCGGTGCCAGCCACGCCCGCGGCCAGCCGGGCGACCTCGGCGCCGCGCTGCGTGGGCAGTCGGGTGGTAGCGCCGCCCAGCGTCACTCGTGGAAGATCTCCTGTTTTGGGATCCAAACACTTGGTGGCTCATCCCACTTAGTAAGTGGGTTATAACCCCAGTTATAAGTGGATTAACCCTACTTATCCCATTTATAACTGGGGTTATAACCCACTTACTAAGTGGGATGAGCCACCAAGTGTTTGGATGTTTTGGGCAATAAAGATAATAAAGCCGCAAAATCGGGGAATGGTTTTCCAAGGGGTGAAATTGGATCAAAAACGGGGCTAGTTTATTGTTTATGATTGCGTTGTTGCTTAAATTGAGTTGGAATTGATTGGAATTGCCCGATACCACAAAATGTTGGGTCACCCTAAATGGCTTTGGGTTAAAACTCAGCATCCCCAAATTGGGTAAATGCAAAGATCTTATTTCGTGGTCCCGGGGTAGAGTTTTGATCCATAACCAGCTGATAAAGTGTTGCTACGCTCTACCATGTGCATGGGTCAAAACTTAACGCCCAGGGCCCACGGAAACACAGAGAACTTGCCCATGTGGGTATCAGAAATGGACTAGCAAGGCACCTGCACAAGTTGGCTGTTTATGTTCAGTGTATAGCCGGGTATAGCCCGGTATAGCCATCCAAGATTTTGTGGGTCAGTCTTCCAAGCAGTAACTTGATTTGGAAAGTGTCAAGGTCGTTAGTTTCCACCCAGGCTTTCTTCAGTGGAAGTACAGGCACTTCAGCTCTAATTTTGCCAGCTTGGGTCACACCCGGCACAGGTGCCTTTTCGCTTCATGTTGTAACTGTATGGAAGCTAGTCACAGAAAAAGCAAGGAAAATGAACCATGTAATGCCAGTACTGGATTAGTAAACCCTGTTTGATGAATTGAGCGGTTACAACTGGAACGGGACAAGCCACCAGCGGCTTCACATGAACACTAAACCAGGTGAAAAGGGTAAACCATAGCGACCCTCACTGGCCCACCTCACCACAAACTGCTCAAAACATGGGGCTGAATCATTCCACCAATTCATCGTATTTCATCTTGTTCATCTATATAGATTTCATTTTAAGTTCTAATTTGTGAATCCTGATTTATCCCATTATCAATCACTATGAATGCCAGTAGTACCGCACAAGGCGGTGGCGGAAGTTTCAAAGATGGGACACTATAGGAGAGGCGAGTTGTTGTGATGCATGGATGGCAGAGCAAATCCACTGATGGATCGAAAGCTGGTTGGAGTTGTGCTTCTTGGAGTGGTTACAGTGGTCACCTCACCCACCACTGCTGGATGTGGTGTGGTAGTGGTAGTGGTAGTGGCAGTGGTGGTGGTGGTGGTGGTGGTGGTCGTCGTCTTCGTCGTCGGCGTCGTCGTCGTCGTAGTAGTAGTAGTAATAGTAGTAGTAGTAGCAGTAGCAGTAGTAGTAGTAGTAGTAGTAGTAGTAGTAGTAGTAGGAGTAGTAGTAGCAGTAGCAGTAGCAGTCGCAGAAGCAGTAGCAGAAGCAGAAGCAGTAGCAGTAGCAGTTGTGGTGGTGGTGGTGGTGGTAGTGGTGGTAGTAGTAGTAGTAGTAGCAGCAGCAGCAGCAGCAGGAGTAGGAGTAGGAGTATCAGTAGGAGTAGTAGGAGTAGTAGGAGTAGTAGGAGTAGTAGGAGTAGTAGGAGTAGTAGGAGTAGTAGGAGTAGTAGGAGCAGTAGGAGTAGTAGGAGTAGTAGTGGTGGTAGTAGTAGCAGTAGCAGTAGCAGTAGCAGTAGCAGTAGTAGCAGTAGTAGCAGTAGTAGCAGTAGCAGTAGTAGCAGTAGTAGGAGTAGTAGGAGTAGTAGGAGTAGTAGGAGTAGTAGGAGCAGTAGGAGTAGTAGGAGTAGTAGTGGTGGTAGTAGTAGCAGTAGCAGTAGCAGTAGCAGTAGCAGTAGTAGCAGTAGTAGCAGTAGTAGCAGTAGCAGTAGTAGCAGTAGTAGCAGTAGTAGCAGTAGTAGTAGTAGTAGTAGTCGTCGTAGTAGTGGTAGTAGCTGTAGTAGTCGTGGTAGTGGTAGTGGTCGTGGTCGTGGTCGTGGTTGTGGTCGTGGTTGTGGTCGTCAGTAGTAGTAGTAGTAGTAGCAGTAGCAGTAGCAGTAGCAGTAGCAGTAGCAGTAGCAGTAGCAGTAGCAGTAGCAGCAGCAGCAGCAGTAGTAGTAGGCGTAGGTAGTAGTAGGAGTAGGTAGTAGTAGGTAGTAGGTAGTAGGTAGTAGGTAGTAGGTAGTAGGTAGTAGGTAGTAGGTAGTAGGTAGTAGGTAGTAGGTAGTAGGTAGTAGGTAGTGGGTAGTGGGTAGTGGGTAGTGGGTAGTGGGTAGTGGGTAGTGGGTAGTGGGTAGTGGGTAGTGGGTAGTGGGTAGTGGGTAGTAGGTAGTAGGTAGTAGGTAGTAGGTAGTAGGTAGTAGGTAGTAGGTAGTAGGTAGTAGGTAGTAGGTAGTAGGTAGTAGGTAGTAGGTCGTAGGTCGTAGGTCGTAGGTCGTAGGTCGTCGGTCGTCGGTCGTAGGTCGTCGGTCGTCGGTCGTCGGTCGTCGGTCGTCGGTCGTCGGTCGTCG